CACGGCACTGACACTTGTTATTCTTCAGAGGTTCTGGGAAGATCTCCATCCTGCTGAAAAAACCTCCATTCTTTGCCCTAAGGAACAGAGTATCCCAGGGCTTTCATCCAGCACCAGGCCAGACGTGGGTGGAATGCACAACCAGCCAGGAGGGCACTGGAGAGGTGGGAAGAGAGCTCCAGCTCCAGCTCCAGCTCAGAGCCGGCCCTGGCACACAGGGAACAAAAGGAGCTGCAAAGCCACAGCAGGGAAGTGGGAGATGGATGGATTTCACTGGCATTTAGGGGGCAGGGACACGAGACATGACCCAAATGCAGAGATAATCAGATGAAAACGTGGCTCTGCGGGGGACTCAGGTCTTGCAGAGCTGTCAAGGTAACCCACCAGTGACACTGCACACAGCCAGAATCGCCCCTTCGGCACCAGAAACCACAGATTTGAGCACAACTAAAGCAAAACTGGGACCAGTGAGGGAAAACTAACGTGGGGCAGGTTGGTTTTTAAGGCAGAGACAAGGGCAGAGAAAGGGAAGGATCAAAAACTGTGTGTGTGCAATAAACGTGCACAACCTTCTCCATTCCCAGCTCTCCCAGCCTTCTCTCCTCTCCATTCCCACCTATCCCAGCCTTCTCTTCTCTCCATTCCCAGCTCTCCCAGCTCTCTCTCCTCTCCATTCCCAGCTCTCCCAGGAGAGGATAAAGCATAAAGCACTGGATGAGCAAACAGCACAAACAGCAGTGCAGGAGGAATGCAGAATCAACACTCTGAACAAAAGCCATGGTAAAAAAAGGTGACAGCAAACACAGCACTGGTAAAAAGGGAAGTTAACTCTTGGTGGAAGCGACACTAAACTGGCTGGAAATGCTGATGAGACCGAGAGCACTGCACCCACCCTGGGGTTACCCTGGGCAATCACAACAGGCAAGTGCCCACACACAGAGAATCCACATGCTGCTCTGCCAGAGCTGGAGTGTTCTGGTTATTCCCTCCCAAAGACAACACAGAGAGGAGGCAGAAAAGGCCCAAGCTGGTATCCCAGATTCCTGACCAGCCGGTATCCCAGACCCCTGACAGGCTGGTATCCCAGGCTCCTGACAGGCTGGTATCCCAGGCTCCTGACAGGCTGGTATCCCAGGCTCCTGACAGGCTGGTATCCCAGACTCCTGACCGGCTGGTATCCCAGGCTCCTGACAGGCTGGTATCCCAGACCCCTGACAGGCTGGTATCCCAGATTCCTGACAGGCTGGTATCCCAGACCCCTGGCAGGTTGGTATCCCAGACTCCTGACAGGCTGGTATCCCAGACCCCTAACAGGCTGGTATCCCAGACTCTTGTGTCAGCAGACAGGCCTCTGTCCCAGCCCCAGTGCCACAGGGAGGGGCAGTGAGCAAGGCAGCACTCGGAGCAGGCTGTGAGGAACCCTCTGTGTGGTTGAACACGGGTCCCCCAGCCCCAGAACGAACTGATTGGTGCCAGGACCCATCTCCTTACCTGGGACTCCATGAGGTATCCGGCGTCACGGCCCTGATCCAGACCCGTCTTCACAACCTGGGCCAGGAGCACAGAGACACTGCTCAGTCCTGTCTGCAAGCACCTACACCTGAGCAGGAGCACCTGCTGTCCCCATGACCCCTCCCCACTGTTCCAGGCACATTCCAGCCCCCCTGGGTCCTGTCCCTGCTGCTCAAGGCAGAGATGGGAGTCCCCCTGTCCTTCCATCAGGTTCCCATGGAGCCCATCCCTTGGGGTTCCAGGAGCTGTGCTCCTGCAATGCCACCGCTCTCAGAGTCGCTCACAGGTTTTAGAGAAGTCTTGGCAACAACTTAAATAGTGAAAAGTCATTTTAAAATAAGGACTCAAGCCTGCAGTGTGTCTGTAAGCACCACAATGCTTGTGTAACCCAGAGGATTAACTTTTAAAGTACTGTGTGGTCAGTGCTATGAACACTGCAACCATTTTTATTTTTCTGGCTTCAAAAAGGTTCCCTGAGCTCTTTAGGAACTGTATAGGAAACCTGGAAAAACTGCAGCTGAAAGTTTCGTGGACAAAATATTCCAGCTAAGCCTTCCCTCAGCTGGGATTCCTGCCCTACCCCTCGCTGAGACCAGTCCCACCCAAACTGGTGCTCCTTCTTTGGGCAGTGACTCCCAATTCCCCCCCACTTGCTCAGTCCAGCACAGAGCCAGCACTGCTCAGGACTGAGGGGCAGGAACCACCTCCCCTCTGCCTGCCCCACATCATCCCACAGCCCCACCTCCCCCAGGGGCCCCCCCAGCTCGCTGTGTCACCTCGATGATCTTCAGGGGAGCGGGGTAGAGTCCTTTGGTTTGCTTCTGAACTTTGCTCTCCACCGTCTTGTAAACTTGCTGCCTCACGAAGGGCAGAGCCATGGCATAGTCTGTGAGCTCTGCAGGGTGGGACAGAGCAGGTGTCAGCACAGGGCAGCCCTTCAGGGGTTTAACTGCAAAGCCAGGGCACTGCAAACAGCAAAGAGCTGCAAACCTGCCACAGAAACCTGCACCTGAAACCAGCCCCGGGCAGCAGGGGCTGCTCTCCACGGCCTGTTCCAGGGACAAGTCCCCTCTTCCCAACACCAGTGGTGACAGACTGAGCCCTGGGGAGCAGGACTCCCATGGAGGTGTCCCCGTTTCTGGGCTCTGCTAACGAGGATCAGTGCAGAGCAGTGCCTCTGGCTAGCAGTCCCACCTGGCTACACAAGCCTTGCCACCGAAACTTTGAAGATGCTGAGTCCCCTGGAGGCAGCTGCTCCCTCTCTCCCTGAGGCCTGGCTCCCTTCCAGCGACCCCAGGAGCTATCAGGTCCAGCTCTGCCAAAGCCAGATCCGCAGAGCAGCTTTTTCCCCACCAACCTACCCAGCTCGAGAGGCGACTCCAACACGGAATAACCTCGTTTTGAAAACGGAAACAAGCAGGAGCAGGAGCTCCAGCCCAGAGAAGCCAGGCTGGATTCACAACAGCCCCTTGGGATGTGGCCACGCTGCCCACACACTTACTCTGCATCAGCCCCTTGGACCTCTTGGCAGACATGGTCTTGTTGGCCAGGCCCCTGGCAAAGCCGATGGCCACCTCCTCCAGGTACTCGATCGTCCGCGCCTCGGGAGCCTTCACACCCGGCCCTGGGAGCACAGGGGACACAGCAGGGGTTATCCCTGAGGATGGGGCATGTGGAGAAGCCAGGATCACACAGCAGCACGATGGGCTTTGGAGCTGCTACCACCCCACTCCCCCCTCCCGTTGGACATCTCTTGGTCGGGAGCGATGGTGGGAAGGCCCAGCACGGACCACGGGAAGGCCCCAAGGGGTTTATTGCACAGCATCAATCAGAAAGGCTGGAATCTCAGCTCCCAGCGGGAGCAGAGCCAAGTTCAAAGGCACATCCAGCTCTGGAATTAGACCAGGTTGCTCAGGAAGACCTTCTGCCAGTCTCTGACCACCTCCAAGGACGGAGGTTCCGTGACCTCTTTGGACCTGTTTCAGCTCCTGACCATCTGTGCGCCACTCGTGCCCTTTGTTCCTCTAACCTGTTGCTAACACAGACAGCATTTTGGAAGTGCTGTGCCCTTGAAAATTACCTGGACAGAAGCCAATGTCCAACCACCCCCAACCTTTGAACTGCAGGAGATGTCTCATTGCTTGAGCCACTGCAACACACAGTTGTAACTCCTGGCCTCACTTAAAGCTGTCCCACAGCGAGGCAAGTCACCACCCAACCAGTTTCAGCAACCTCTGAGGGTGGGTTGCACAATTCCCAAGCACAAGAATCCCCCTCATTTCCAGACAGTTGCATCATCAGGGCAGGATCCAGCACGGGGGCTGGTCAGGCAGCTGTGAGGAGCTGCCAGAGGCAAACACCGAGTCATTCATGACAGAGCAACGCCCAGGGAGGCTGCACAGGCCACCAAGAAGACCCTGCAGGCAAATGTGCAGCCTTGGGCTGCCTCTGAACTCACTGAACTAACCCGGTGAGATGACAACCCTGTATCCTTTAGCTGGGCAACCTCATTCACCTTCACACCACCTGCTCCGAACACGCCCGGGGTGCTGCACAGAGTCGTCAGAGCCAAGGAAACCCCCCCTCAGACACCCCCGACACAGGAGATGGGGAAAAACAAAGGGGGAAAAAAAAGGCAAAACAAACCCCCTTCCTCTTTAAGTCCCACCACTCTTCCCCTCAACAAAACAATGAGGTCTTCAAATTTAAGGTTTCAACTACAGAAACCCAGAATGGTTTGGGTGGGAAGGGACCTTGAAGAACGTCCTGTTCCATGGGCAGGGACACCTTTCACTGGCCCAGGTTGCTCCAGCCTGACCTTGGACACTCCCAGGGATCCAGGGGCAGCCACAGCTTCCAGACTAGGAATTCCAGTCTAGCCCCTCACCACCTTCCCAGCCAGGAATCCCTTCCCAATCTCCCATCTGTCCCTGCCCTCTGGCACTGGGAAACCATTCCCTGTGTCCTGTCCCTCCATGCCTTGTCCCCAGCCCCTCTCCAGCTCTCCTGTATTTCATTTTACAGGCAGCACAGCAAACACAGCCCAGAGCTGCTGCAAAATCTACCTTTCAGCAGTGCCCAGTGGATCTCAAGAGAATTTACTGGAGATCTGAGAGCATTTGGGAGTTCAGAGCTCAAATCTCACCAGCTCCCAAATTCTGTTCTCACCATTCAAGGCTGGGACCTTCAGCTTTGGTGACCTGATGTGCCACAGGATGTCAGTGCCCGATTTCCCCTTTCCTTTAGCCTGGCTGGTCCACACCAGCAAGTGCTGGATTTTGACAGCCCAGCTGAAGAAAAGAGCTGCTCATTTTGAAGTGAGAACTATTCAGACAGGGCAGCTGATGCCCCACACAGAGGTTTACTTTACCTGCCATCACCTCCCAACGTTTTGTGGTGTCCTAACCCAGGAGCTCCAAGCTGCCCTTTCCCACCTGGTTCTTTTACAAATGGGATCCAGGGAATGCTGTAGGGTTCCCAGTTGAGGAAGAACGGGTTGTACCCCACGAAATTGCCTCCTTCAAAGCTTTCTATAATCAGCTAAAGCATCACCCCAGGTAAAGCTGCTTTCCCCCAGGCACAGAGAGAAAAGGAGCCCTCAGCAGGAACCTCCTGGCACTGGCTGCTCTTTGGATGAACAGGGAATGCCTGTTTGCATGTAATTTGTATTTCTGTGTTCCTCCTATGTGCTTAATCTGGGCTGACCCAGGATTCCAAACAGCTCCTCGGAAAGCTCCCTTTCCCTTTCAGCAGCACAGGATAATTGTGGGTGTAAAAAGCCACATTTGCTGCCCCTTAAAAGCCAATTCACATCTAAGCAGGTATAAAGCGGGAAAGTTTATCCAGGCAATTTTAACTCCAGCCATGGGAACCACGAAGCTGTTTCATGAGCA